GCGGGGGGCGCGCAGGGCCTCTCCGGGGTGCAGCCCTGAGGGAGTGCTCGTCCTTGAACCCTGGGCTTCAGCCCGGCGCCTAAACCTTTCTAAAGAAGGCTGGGGAGGAGAGGATAAGGAGCTCGCGTGCGCAGCCGCAGGACGTCAGGGCGAGGGGCCCTGGAGAGGTTGCAGGTTGCGGCGACCGGGATGACAGTTTGTGGCCGGACCTTCAGAGGGAAGGTGAAGTGTAGCTTTTTCTAAACTCCTGGGTGAGGAGGAGTTACTTGATTATCCAACAGCTAAAGAGAGGGGTTGGATTGCCTCTGGATGTTTTGGATAGCAACAGTGTCAGGGAAAGAGAAAATTGTAGGCATCCCTCCTGCGTTGTCCCCCTTGACCTCCACGTTTCGCTAATCCTGAAAACTTTTGCAGAGGAAAGAGCAAATAGATGGGGTGAAGACTCCTAACACTGCTACGAATATACCTGGTTTTACTGGTTGAATTAAAAAATGAGTAATACAACCAAAACATAACAGGATAATCAGTTCCTTAGTTCATTATAATGACTGTTTTTGTGTCTACTCTTAGGACCACCCAGCCTTCTGGGCCCTCCCCCCATGGCCAATGGAAAGCCTGGTGTCCTGAAGTCAGGTGAGGAGGAAGGGGCCCTAATTCTTTGATTCTATCCTGGAGAAGGGAGCAAAGGAGGGACTAAAACCCAGGAAGGACTTAAAATCAAAATAAAAAAATCAGAGATTCAGTACCTGAGTGGAGAGATGTTGGGTATTCACCGATTGGAAAACTCAGTGTTATAGATTCAGTGCATTCCCAGTGATAATATCTGTATTGTTTGTGGAAGTAAACGTTCTGCATTATTATATGGAAATACAAAGGATCAGGGTGAGAGGCTGCATGGTCAGTCTTGAAGAGGGAGGGCTTGCTCTGAATGTCAGGGCTTACTGTAAAGACAGTTACACAGAGGTGGTGTTGGTATAAGGTTAGACATATAAATCAATAGAACAGCATAAAGGGTCCAGTAACGGGCCCACACATATTTGGATACTTCATTAATGATTAAGATGGAACTGAAATAGTGGTCTTTTCAGTAAATGATGCTGGATTAATTAGATATTCATGAGGTGGGGAATGAAAACTGACCTATTATTACCATATAGAAACTTCACAATTCCAAGTGGAATATAGATCTAAGTAAAAGGTAAAGAAATAACTCTAGAAAATAAATACATATCATGGTCTTAGAATAGATAGGAGCTCTTGCAGAGGAAACACATTACCCATAAAGGAAAGATTTGTAAACTGAACTGCGTTAGTAAATATAAACTTCTATTCATCAAATGACACCATAAGAAATTAATAGAGTAGAAGATGCTTGTAACAAATGTAACCAATAAAGAGCTCATATCTAGGATATATAAAGGACTCTTTGGGACAACCTGTTAGAAAAATGGGCAAAAAAACGAATAGCCACCTCAAAGTCCAAAACCTAAATGGCCAAAAACGTGAACAAGAACATCATTAGTCGACAAATAGATGCAAGATAAAAACATGCCACTTTGAAATTGAAATGCTAGTGTACTGTTGGTGGGATTGTAAAATGGTGCAGCCACAAAACAGTCTGGAGATTGCTCAAAAAATTAAAAATAAAACTGTCATATGGTCCAGCAGTTCTACTTCAGGAAAGCAGAATCTTGAAGAGGTATTTGTACGCCCATGTTCATAGCAGCACTATACATAATAGCCAAGAGGTGGAAGCAACCCAAATATCTGACAGATGAGTAAACAAAATATTGCATATTCATACAGCGGAATATTAATTCAGCCCCAAAAAGTAAGAAAATCATGTCACATGCTACAACGTGGATAAATCTTGAGGCCATCATGGTAAATGAAGTAAGCCAGTCACAAAAAGACAAATACTTTATGATTCCACTTATATGAGATATTTAAAGTAGTTTAATTCATAGACACAAAATAGAGTGGCGGTTGCCAGGGCCTGGGAAGAGTGGGGAAAGGAGAGTTGTTAGTAGATACAGAGTTTCAGTTTTGCAAGATGGAAAAAGTTCTGGAGATCTGTTTCACAACAACGTGAATTTAACACTACTGAGGTGTACTCTTAAAAATACTTAAGATAGCAAGCTTTATGTTCCATATTTTGCCACAAATTAAAAAAACAGAAAACCTTTTCACACTCAGCATAATGCCAAAAATGAAAAAGATTGGCAGTACCCAGTATTGTCAGAGCTATGAAACCAACTGCTAGTGGGGGTATAAATTGGTACAAGCACTTTGGAAAAAGTTTGACTTTATCTATTAAACTTGAGCATACATATACTCTTGGACCCAGTAATACCTCTGCTAGGTATGTACTCAACAGAAATGCATACATATGTTTAACAAAGACATGTATAAAAATGTTCATAGCAGCGTTTTTCGTTATAGCCCCAAACTGGAATCCACCCACATGTCCACCATCAGTAGAATGGATAAATAAGTTGTGTGTGCATGCAATGGGATACTACACTGCAATGAAAAGGAGCGAACTCGCTACAGGCAACCTGGATGAATCTCACAAACATGATGTTGAGCAAAAGGAGCCAGACACAAAAGAATGCAGACTGTATGATTCCACTTATGCAAAGTTTTCCACTTAGGCAAAAAGTAACCTCTGGTGCTAGAAGTCAGGCCAGTGGCTACCTTTGGGGAGGAGGGTGGAATAGCGGGGTAGGTGGGGCACAAGGGGGGTTAACAACTGAAGTGTTAATAAGGTTCTATCCCGTCACCTGGGTGGTAGAAACACAAATGTGTTCACTTTGGTGATAATTGAGTTGTGCACTTGAAGTTGGTATACTTTTTTTTTGTATGTATAATGTACTTCAGTTAAAAAAAATCAGGACTTTCTTAGGATTAAGTTGGCCATTGATCACCTTTCCATGGTTCTCTCTCTCTCTAGCTCTTCACAGAGGTCCCCCAAGTTCAAGGGGATTAATGATTCCACCACTGCTGAGTCTCCCACCTCCTCCCCGGGGCAGAGGCCCTGTTTGGGGAGGCTTAGGCCCCAGGTCTGGTCCATATGGTCGTGGTTGGTGGGGTGTCAGTGCTGAGCCTCCTTTTCCTGGACCAGGCCACGGCAGTCCCTCCAGGGGAGGCTTTCACAAAGAACAGAGACATCCTCGGAGGCTCAAAAGCTGGTCACTTGTCAAGAATACCTGCCCCTCGAAGGATGAGCCCCAGGTTATGGAAGGTGAGGTCATTTTTGTATGCCTGTAACATTTAATACCTATCACTCTCAGGATGACCAGGACTCTTCTCCTTTGCACTGTCCTTTGTCCTTTTGAAGTGGGAGTAGCCCTGAATGTGTTTCTCCCAGGAGGAAGACTGCCATTCCAAGGAAGTATCTGGAAATGGTAGGGAGTAGAAGTCTGACCGCCGTCTTGATCTCTTCTTTCTGTTACATTTGTTTTCTTCCTTACTCACATTTTAAATTGCCCTGTCTTCACTTGTTCACAGACAAATCTGACCGTCCTGTCTGCCGACACTTTGCCAAAAAGGGCCACTGTCGATATGAGGACCTCTGTGCCTTTTATCACCCAGGCGTCAACGGACCTCCTCTGTGAGACTGTGCCTTCCCATCCGAGCTGGAAGGAGCCATCGGTGACCTAGCAGCCATATATTTCCCTGTGGCCCTGTGACAGCTACTGTGAGGCTGTTCCACCCACCACCCTCAGTAACACCAACCCCTGTCCACCACCTCCCCCGTTGGGGGTTCAGAGTTGTGTTTCATCACTGGGGCACAGTGTGCACTCTTTCTGCTGACCCAGCCTCCAAAGTCTCGCCTTCAGGACCCCATCTTTGTTCCCTCAACTGCCTCCTAGGCCCTCTTAACCCTCACCAACCAACTCCTGAGCAGGAAACTTACTTGGTGCTGTTTCTTGTGCATCTGTCCACCCAGCCCCCAGTATGGCCCTCAATTCCTGAGCCCTGGAGCAGTTTCCTATCTTCTTCTGGCTGCTTGTTTTAAGTCCTTTTTATGTGATAGTCCCTACCCCCAATGTTGGCAGCTGCTCTGTGACACTCCCTGGGTTGTCTGACCTGGGGTCAGGTTTGGGTGACTGGTACAGAGCCATTTCCTGAAAGGCTACTCTCCCTGCTTCTGGATTTTGTAGTTTCACCGTCAGTAGCATGGCCCCACCACCATGGTCTGTGATCGCTGTGCTTTGTGAACGTGCACCCCCTCGTAGCTTTCTCAGTGTCTGTGGCATTTCTGTGGCTTCCCCACAGTAGAGTATTTATGCCAAAACAAGTGAGGCTCTTGGTGCCCTCTAGGCTTTCCCCACCTCCCAACACGGGAGATTGTGAAACCTTCCACAAGGGTGCCTCCCCAGCCTTCCAATTCTTCTGGTGGTGTTCTTCCTGGCTTTGACCGGGCCCATGAGATGTGCTCTAAAGCCCCTGGTGGGCCTCCCTCCATAGTTAGACTGTGTCACGTGAGGCTACCAGCTTTTCTTTCGAGTTCTGTGAAGCTCCACCTGGCCTATCTTTAGGTGGAAGTTGGACAGTCCTGCTGTCCTCTCCCAACCTCCATCCCTGTGTCTCTGGCACTGGTTGTTTTCTGTGAAAACGGCAGTGAGCAGGCTCCATCTTGAACTGGCCCTGAGGACATGGGTTAGGAGTTGTGTGGGCAAGAAGGAGGGATGAGAGCCATTGGAGAACTGAAAATGAATTTTTTTTTCTTTTTAACTTTTTTTATATTAGTAATAAATGCAGTGGAAACAAACATTTTCTTCAATCCCTGTGTTCCAGTCATCTCTGGAGGTGCAGATGAGGCTGTTTTTGTTGGAATCATCCTTCATTTATTCATGTACAGTGGGGATAGAGAAAGGCAAAACTTTGTTTCTTCCACCTGGGTCCCTTGAACTGGACCAGGCTGCATTACATTCAAGGATAAGGTTTTGTGGGAGAAAAGCAAAACCAGGTGCCCACAGAGTAATTTTTTTTAAAATATGTCTTCATTGACTTCAGAGAGGAAGAGAGAAACAGTGATGAGAGAGAGTCATTGATCGACTGCCTCCTGCATGCCCCCTGCTAAGGATTGAGCCAGCAACCCGAGCATGTGCCCTGACCCAGAATCGAACCATGATCTACTGGATCCTAGGTCAATACTCAGCCACTGAGCCATGGCAGCTGAGCTCCACGGAGTAATTTTTAAACACTTCCTCTGTGTGAGGGCTTGGTGTTCGTGGAGTGTTAATGACAAAGCAGTCTTTCAGTGAGTATGTGTGGAGCACCTGTGGACGAGGCAGTGTGCTGGGCACAAGAAATAACTGAGAGCTGGAACCAATGAATTGAAAATCTAAGGGACATGTTCATCAAGATGTCATAAATATGTGTAAAGTTAGACCTGCCTGATAGTGCTGCAAAGAAGTGAGGCATGAAGAAAGGTTATGTGGTAGAGGGACCTCAAAAGATGACAACAGGCCAGTTCTGAGGGACAAGCAGGAGGCAAGGTGGGAGAGTGGTCCAGGCAAAGATGTTTGCCAAGAGGTGGGAAGAGTGGGAGGTGAGGCAGAAGAAAGCAGCTAGACCCGGTGAAGCCATGCAAAACAAGGCTTTGGGTCTTTTTCTTAAGAAGGAAGCCTTAGAAGAGTTTCAGGCACGCTAGTAGCACAAATTACCTGGTTTTTCAAAAAGATACACTCTGGGGCCCTGTACAGGCTTGGAGGTGCAGGTTAGACAGTTCCTTCTGTAATCCAGGTGAGTCTCAGGGTGGCATTGACTTTGGTAGTGGAGTTGGGGAAAAGTGGACTTTTGAAAACGAGGTCAAAATGAAAGTATTTTGGTTTCTTGGGCTAATTCTGGCTTGTATAAGTAACGTTTTTTAAAAAAAGGTATTGGGGAAAACAGTGCCACTAATTTACTTTTGAAATGGTTGTGTCTGAGCTGCCTTTTTAAAGACATCCAAGGGGAGATATCAAGTAGGTAGTTGAATATACAGGTTTGATGTTCGATTAAAATGAGGCTTAAATCTTGAGTTAACTGCATATAGATGGTGGTTGAAGCCATGAGCATGGGTACATTTACTCTAAATATTAAGCACCGACTATGGGCCAGTTTATCAGCTTTTAAGTTCAATTGTAACAGAAACCAAAATTAGTCTTAAAACAAGGTAGACATTTATTTCTCATAGGTCAAGAGGTAGACAGTCCAAGGCATGCATGGTAGTCATGACGCCACAAGGTCCTTGGGCATTAGCTCCCCCCAGATTTCAGCGCCACAGTTCCTAGGGGTCAGACCCTCCTATTCAGTCCAGAGCGAAACTCCAGTTTGTTATCCTTACTCGAAGCCTCAGGATGGAGGAAAGGCAGAGCACACCAGCTGTCTTAAAGGAAATTTCATCCAGGCTAACATCCAGCTCTTCAATTTATATTCCACTGGCTATAAATTAGTCCTGTGGCCAATACCTACCTGCCAGTGAGGCTTGGGAACATATTCAGACAGCCATGTGCTGAGCAAAATGTTGGACTTTGAGCAGGTGGAAACGGGGCAGGATGAACATCTTCTACCAGCCACTCCCCGCTAAAATTTCAGGATGGTATAGGAAGTAAGACAGTGAAAGTGGCAATGCCCTTCCAGCCAGATACCACCGGGAACACACCTATAGTCAAACAAAGTTGGGTTTATTAGCTCTGAAGAGGTTACCTCATTACAAGAGGATTAGAAATGAAGAGATTAGGGTCTGTGTTAGGTGATAGGGGCACGTTCAAGGAGTCGAGGACTTGTTCTGGATTGGGAGCTGTTGGGAAGTAAGGGTAATCATACTGTTGCACCTCTTAATCTCATCTTTGAAGGAAGGAGGAATAAAACATGACTGAAGATGTAACTTGGTAAAAAATAAAGTAAAAAAACAGCCGTCACTCATTGTTGCCAAGAGGGGCTGTTTAGTATTGTTTAGTGCTTATGGCTCACACAGCAGCCTTACACAGAATGACCTTTTCTGCCATTGGTGTCCTGTGAGGTTTGTGATGGACACGAGAGCACAGTGGCTAAGCTGTGAGTGCCAGGCTCGCTCTGAGCCACACCAAGGCTTAGCTCTTAGTGTCAGGCCATTTCCCAGTTGCCAGGGTCTGCTTTTGTCAAAAGTAAACGATTACAGATTGTGATTAGTGATATAAAGGACATAAATGGGGTATTGCCTAGAGAATAACGGTTGGGGGCTGCTTGAGACGTGGACAGGAAAGACCTGTCTGAAGAATCTGTAGCTGAAGTAACCTGGGAGGAGAATGTCAGGTGGAAAGAAGAGAGGGCCCAGAACTCAGCCTTGAGGGAAGCTGGCATCAGTGGCCAAATCAAGATGGACCAGGATGAGCCAGACAAGGAAACAGGAGGGATGGCCAGAGAGGCCCGAGAGAGCTCCAAGCACGGCATCTGCTGGTTGCTTGCTCTGTACCAGGCAGCATGCTATGTTCATCTGCATTCTCTTAGTTAAGCCTCATTCGTTCAGTGACTACGTTAGTGCTTTCTCGGAGCCGGCACTGTTTCAGGAGCTGGGGGTGTAGTGAGAAAGACAAAAACCTTACCCATATGGTGCATACAGCCTATTGAAGATGATCCACAATAAGAACGAATGCAATCTAATTTTTTTTTTTAATGTATCTTTATTGATTTCAGAGAGAGGAAAGGAGGGGGAGAGAGAGAGACAGAGACATCAATGATAAGAGAGTCATTGATTGGCTGCCTAGCCAGCAACCCAGGCATGTGCCCTGACCGGGAATCGAACCCCAATCTCCTGGATCCTAGGTCGATGCTCAACCGCTGAGCCACGCCCAGTCGGGCTGTAATGTAATCTTAAGTAATACATGCTCTGAAGAAAAAGTGGAGGAAGAGGCTGGAGAAGGACAGGTGGACAAGAACAGGTCCTTGGAGAACTTATTTGAAGAGGTAACATGTGAATAGAATAGATCCTGAAGCTAGAAACTGAGGAAGCAACCATATGGATATCAGGGGAAATGCATTCCAGACACTGGGAGCAGCAAGGGCAAAGGCCCTGAGGCAAAATTGAATCTCAGGTTTGAGGTGGAAATAGACCAGTGTGGCTAGGCTAGAAGATGAGATCAGGAAGCTCAACTGGCCAGGTCATACGGAGCCCTGTAAGCCAAAGCAAAGCATTTGGATTTTATTCTGAGTGATCAAATGATTTACATTTTAAAACTTATACTGGCTCTGACCAGTGTGGCTAAGTCGGTAGGACTATCTTCCCTGACACTGAAAGGTCACGTGTTCAATACCTGGTAAAGGTGCGTAGGGGAGACAACCCAACACGGATGTTTCTCATGTCCATGTTTCTCTCCCTCTCCCTCTCTAAAGTCAAAACAAAAAATAATGAATAAATAAAACTTGTACTGACTGAAGGATAAACTGAAGAATAACAGCAGGGAGACCAGTTAGGAGGCCACTCCTGTAGTCCATAGGAAAGATGGGGACTTGGTCTGGGGTAGAGGTGAGAGAAGTGGGCAGATTTAGGATGTATTTTAAAGTCTCGATTGATGGCAACTCATCTTTCTAGTTGCTTGGTTTGGAAACCTTGGAGTCATAATTTGTCACATCTGACATCCAATTCATTAACCAGACCCACTGGCTCTTTTTTCCAAATATATCCAGAAATCAGCCCTGTCCCCACCTCCACGTTATCACCCTGGTCCGAGTCACTGTCACCTAACCAGGCTCCCTGCCTCCTGCCATCCTGCCCTAGCCCACACCCTTCAGTCTATCTCAGCACAATACCCAAAGCCACCCTGTTAAAATGTAGGCCAGGTCAGGTGACTTCTCTGCTCAGAACCTTGTAATGATTTCCGTTTTAGTCAAGAGTAGAAGCCAATTTCTTAAGGTGGCCTAAAAGACCCCAATGCAGACCCTGCTGTACTCCGTTTACCTCTCCAACAACCCCTTGCTCACTAGCCACACTGCTCACTGTGTGCTCATCTATGCCAAGTACACTTCTGCTGTAAGGAGTCACTCTGTGTGTTCCTTCCGCCAGGTAGGCTCTTCTGGAAACCCATGGGGCCAACATTCTCACTTTCTTCAAGGATTTAACTTAACCTCACTGAGGCCTCCTGAACAGTCCATTTAAAACTACAACCTGCTCTCCTGATACTTTTGACTTTGATCTATATTTTCTTTTTTCCATAGCATTATCTCCCTTGCTACAAATACAAGCAGAGATCTTTATTTTATTTGGCGATATCCCAAGACCCTAAGTACAAGAGTACCTGGCACATCCCATGCACTCAATAAATACATTTTTTTCAATAAATGAAAAGCAGACATGGGTTGCTGATGAGAGGGAATGGAGAAAGGATCTTTCAGGTTGGCCCAAGAATAAAAGGTGGTGCGATTCTTCCTTTCTTTTTTTCAATTTTAGCTACTATATTTATTTAAATTTGTTTTAAATTATAGTTGGCATACAATATAATACTAGTTTCAGGTGTACAGCATAGTGATTAGGCATTTATATACCTCACAAAGTGATCACCTCACTAAGTCTAACACCCATCTGACACCATGCATAGTTGTGATATTGACTGTCCTCCCCATGATGTACATCCCCTCTGGCTATTTTTATAACTGGACGTTTGTTTTTTTTAATTCAGTTTTTTAGAGATAAGGAAGGGAGAGGGAGAGAAACATCTATGTGAAAGAGAAACATTGATTGGCTGCCTCCTATACACCCCCAACTAAGAGCAATGTCAAGAGTTTATAGCCACTAGGCCCATGTGGCTCAGCAGTTGAGCATTGACCTACATTCCAGGAGATCACAGTTCAATTCCGGGTCAGGGCACATGCCTGGGTTTCCGGCTCCATCCCCAGCAGGGAGTGTGCAGGAGGCAGCCAATCAATGACTCATCATTGACGTTTCTATCTCTCTCTTCCTCTCTTCTCTCTCTGAAATCAATAAAAATGTATATTTTTTAAAAGTTTACTGCCTGTCTATTTTTCTAGGAGGTTTATGGTTTGAGGTTTACATTTAAGTCTTTAACCCATTTTGAGTTTATTTTTATATATGGTGTAAGAAAGTGGTCATTTCATTTTTATAATGTATCTGTCCAGTTTCCCCACCACTATTTGTTGAAGAAACTGTCTTCTCCCTGTTGTATATTCTTGCCTCCCTTGCATAGATTAATTGACCATGTAAGTGTGGGGTTATTTCTAGGCTCTCTGTTCTGTTCCATTGATCTATATGCCTGTTCTTATGCCAGTATAGGCTGTTTTGATTACAGTGGCCTTACAGTTTGAAACTAGGTAGAGTAATACCTCCAACTTTGTTGTTTTTTTTCTCAAGATGGCTTTGGCTTTTCCGGGCCTTTTATGTTCCATATAAACTTTAGAATTTTGTTCTAGTTCTGTGAAAAATGTCATTGGTGGTGGTGTTTTTTAAGTTCTTTTTAAAAATGTTTTTATTGATTTTTTTTTTTTGATTTTTTTTTGAGAGAGAAACATCAATTGGCTGCCTCCTGCATGCCCCCTACTGGGAGTCAAGCCCACAACCCCAGGCATGTGCCCCAACCAGGAATCAAACTTGCGACCTCACCGTGTGTGGGATGATGCTCTACCAACTGAGCCACACTGGCCAGGGCTCATTGGTGTTTTTATAGAGATTGCATTGATTCTTTAGATTGCTTTGGGTATTGTGGACATTTTAATGATACTAATTTTTCCAATCCATGAGCATGGTATTGCTGTCACTTACTTGTGTCTTTTTCTGTTTCTTTCATCAGTGTCTCATAGTTAGTGCAGGTCTTTTATCTCCTTGGTTAAATTTGTTCCTCAGTATTCTTTTTTTTGTTANCCTCCCTTGCATAGATTAATTGACCATGTAAGTGTGGGGTTATTTCTAGGCTCTCTGTTCTGTTCCATTGATCTATATGCCTGTTCTTATGCCAGTATAGGCTGTTTTGATTACAGTGGCCTTACAGTTTGAAACTAGGTAGAGTAATACCTCCAACTTTGTTGTTTTTTTTCTCAAGATGGCTTTGGCTTTTCCGGGCCTTTTATGTTCCATATAAACTTTAGAATTTTGTTCTAGTTCTGTGAAAAATGTCATTGGTGGTGGTGTTTTTTAAGTTCTTTTTAAAAATGTTTTTATTGATTTTTTTTTTTTGATTTTTTTTTGAGAGAGAAACATCAATTGGCTGCCTCCTGCATGCCCCCTACTGGGAGTCAAGCCCACAACCCCAGGCATGTGCCCCAACCAGGAATCAAACTTGCGACCTCACCGTGTGTGGGATGATGCTCTACCAACTGAGCCACACTGGCCAGGGCTCATTGGTGTTTTTATAGAGATTGCATTGATTCTTTAGATTGCTTTGGGTATTGTGGACATTTTAATGATACTAATTTTTCCAATCCATGAGCATGGTATTGCTGTCACTTACTTGTGTCTTTTTCTGTTTCTTTCATCAGTGTCTCATAGTTAGTGCAGGTCTTTTATCTCCTTGGTTAAATTTGTTCCTCAGTATTCTTTTTTTTGTTATTATTGATTTCAGAGAGGGGAAGGGAGAGGGAGAGAGAGAGAAACATCAGTGATGAGAGAGCCATTGGTTGGCTGCCTCCTGTATGCCCCCTGCTGAGGATGGAGCCTGCAACCTGGGCATGTGCTCTGTCCAGGAATCGCACTGTAATCTCCTGGATCATAGGTCAATGCTCAACCTTTGAGCCACGCTGGTTAGGCATTCTTTTTGGTGCACTTGTAATTTTATTCTTTTTGCTGTACTTGTAAATGGGATTGTTTTCTTTTCTTTCTGATAGTTTGTTATTAGTGTGTATAAATTGATTTTGTATATTTGTATACTGAAACTGCTGAATCTACTTATTCTAACATTTTTTGGTGCATTCTCTAGGATATATATATATATGCTATACACACACACAGACACACACATGTATAATATCATTTGCAAATAGAGACTGTTTTACTCCTTCCTTTTCAATTTGGATACTTTTTATTTCTTTTTCTTGCCCTATTGTTCTGACTAGGTCTTCCAGTACTATGTTGAAGAAAAGTGGCAAGAGTGGGCATCCTTGTCTTGTTTCTGATCTTAGAGAAAAAGCTTTCAGCTTTTCACCATTGAGTAGGGTATCAGCTGTAGGTTTGTCACATATGGCCTTTATTATGTTGAGGTATGTTCCCTCTATAGGTGGTGCAACTTCTGGATATCGGGAAACCTGGAGGAGACAAAAGTTTGAGGAGTAACAAGAGTTCCATTTTTGTACATGTTAATTTGAGATATCAGAGATCTCAGAGAGAATGTACAATAAGCAATTGGATTCCTGAGCTTGAAGCTTAAGGCAGAAGTTTAGGGTAACAAGAGACACGTAGGGATCTTCATCAGTTATGGATGGCGTTTAAAGTCATGAGACATAGGTAATAGATCTAGATAAAGAAGAGTGTCAAAAAACGGGGCCCAAAATACTGCCATATCTAGACTTCAGGAGGAGATGCCAGGAAGAGAGGGAAAAGGGGGCAGCCACTGAGGTGGAAAGGAAACCTGGAGAGAGCAGTGTCCCTGAAGAAAACAGAGGGAGTGGCCATTGGCATTACGTGCTGCTGGGAGAGTGAAGAGGTTAAGGACTGAGAACCCACCCTAATCTGTTGACCCTTAGCACAGTGAATTCAGGCCTTGGTGGCTACTAAAGCATCACCACAAAAGCATGACCGTAGTGGTTTAAAGAGCTAATGGGAGCTTACAGGGCTGACAGGCACTTGCTCCCACACCTACTAAGTGGTAGTGTTAGAAGTGAACCCAAATCTTGATTGTGGTAGTGGTTTAATGGGTATATATATGTCATAACTTATCAAAGTATACACTTTGCAGTTTGTCAATTTGTCCATTTTATTGTATATTACACCTCAGTGAAGCTTTTACCAAAAAAAGTGGGGGTGGGAGCTTAAGCTCCGCCGCACGGTGTTAGGCTAGAGTACCTACTCCTTTACAACTCCAAGTTTGGGGTTTAAGGACGCGCCTCAACACTAGACCGACAACTCCTTAGAAGACAGACTGCGCCTTTCTGCCCCTAACTAGACGTAAGGGGCTGGTCGAAGGTAGCAACCACTTAAAGAAAGGACGCGTCCAGTCCTCCTTATTAGTCGGAAATTAGAGACGCGGTCACACGGCAGGGCGCCCACGCGGTCACAAACGCCCTGCCTCCGCCCCGAGTTGCAGGCACCGCCCACACGTCTCCGCAGCCACGCCCCCGGCGCAGCCACGCCCCCGAGGTGACGGAGAGGCGCGCACGTGCGCCGCCTGGGGGCGGGGCCAGCCGCGCTGGCGCGGAGGTGCTGCCGGGTCCCCAGATTCACGCTGCCGGAAGCGGAAACAGCACTGGCGCGGCCAGAGTAGCTGTAACTGCCGCCGCGATGCCGAAGGGTCCTAAGCAGCAGCCTCCGGAACCCGAGTGGATCGGGGACGGAGAGAGCACGAGCGCCGCAGGTGAGGCTCGTGGGCGGGGGGAACGAGCGAGGAGAGTGCGCCTGTTTTAGGAACGTGTCACTGGACGCGAACCTGACCGGGCCACGGGGGGCTACTGCGCATGCGTGTATGGGGCGTCTGGCCCGGCAGCCCCGGGCTGGGGGCGGGGGCGCGGGAAAGGGTGACGCGAGTCAAGCTCGAGCTTTAGTGGGACTGGGCAGAAGACGGGGAAGAACCTCTGGAACCGAGGGGGGGAGGCGGGGGAATGAGCCAGCCCTCGTCTCTTCTGGACGTCCTCCGCGCCGCGCCGCCTGCCGCACTCCACAGAAACGTGCCCCTGCCGGGCCTCCGCCGTCGCCGCGCGCTGTACCGACAGACGCACGCCGCTCGGGAGCCGGGGCCCACCCGCTTCCCCGGAGAGGATGGCTCCTTCCTGGGCTCTTTCATAAGCAAGAGGCACCTCTGACTCAGCTGGGGCAGAGTGAAGATCCTGGGAGTTGGAATGGGAGTTAAGGTGTACTCGGAAACAGCGAGTGTTTGTGAACACCTGTTTTACTTAAGTACTGTATGCGCTGCTTTGGAGAGGGGAGGAGAAAACATGGAGACATCCTCCCAGGCTTGAAGACACTTCAAGGGAGAGCTAAAATGGATACAAATAATTGCAGTAGTTACACAGTGACTAATTTTATAAGCATTTATTGCATACCAACTGTATACCTGGTACTGTGCAAAGGAAGTGGGAATGCAATGATGAAGATAAGCCTTGCTGCCCTGGCTGGTGTGTCTGAGTGGTTAGAGCCTCGGCCCGCGCACGGAAGGCCCGCAGATTCGATTCCCGGTTAGGGGCACCTACCTGGGTTGTAGGTTCAATCTCCTCCCTGATTGGGGCGCCTGCGGGAGGCAACTAATCGATTGATGTTTCTCTCTCTGTGTCTCACTCTCTACCCCTCCGTCCCTTCCTTCCACTTTCTAAAAATCAGTGAAAAAAATATCCTCAGGTGAGGGTTACCAAAACAAAACTAAAAAGATAAGCCTTGCTTTGAAGGGGCACCCAGTCCAGTGGAGGGGACAGAGCATTAAGCAGACAGTGGTTGACAGAGTATTTTATGAATGTGCTTGGGAATGCTATGGGACTGAGAAGAAAGAAGAGACATCCACTTAGACAGGTAGAGTAGGAGTGTCAGCAAAGGCTCCCAGGGATATGTGATATCTGAGTTCCAAGAATGAGCAGTGGAGAGTGGAGGTATGGAGACTGTTTTGCAGGTTCTCACAATGATCCAGATGAGAAGTGGTAAGAGAGCAAGCCAAGGTGGTGAAGACTAAAGAGTTATTAAGGGGAGGGAGTCAACAGGAAAAAACAAAGGGGGCATATCTGTAATGCCTTCAACAATAAAGGTATCTTTTTTTAAAAAAAAGTCTTATTAAGGAAGTGGCTTTGATCAGCACTGGGAACTGGCTAATGGAAGGGAGAAGAATTAGGGAAGACACTCAAGTAACTCAGTGGAAGAGTATTAAAAGCACTTGGGCTATAGGGTGGGGAGTGGGAAAAGACAAGTTTTGAATGCTGAATTGGAGCTTTCTGTGGAGTTTCTAAGAGGAGATGGCAGGGAGAGGGCTTGTTTAATGGCTGTGGAGAGAGATCTAGACTAAAAGGAAAGACAGGCAAGTGTAGTTAAGTGTTGGATCTGGAAGCAGCTTGAAGAGAAAAGGGGCAGAATGTGGGGACCCAAAAGAATCTCAACAATTAAGGGAAGTAAGGTAGAGAAAGGAGGCTGAGGGGATGAAACTGAGAGGCAAGCAGCCAGAAACACTGGAGGCAAACCAGGAGTAGGAAGGATTCCTGAAGTTAAGTAATGACTGGAAGAAGTAAAAGGTAGGTAGCATGGAATGGTGCAGAGAAGTCAAGCAAATAAGGAGTAAAAATATCCTTTTGGGGTTGAGCAACTAAAGAGACAGTAGCAACTTTGTCAAAAGTAGTATTCATTAGGAGGTGATACCCAAAGCAGATTGTAGTACATTTGAAAAGGAACGGGAGATGAGGAAGTGCAGCTGGTGTGGACTGTGCTTTTCAGTCAGTGAAGACAGGATAGAAAACGGATTAAAGGAGGAGGTTGTAAGATTAAGGAAAGTGTTTCATTTGACTTTGAAGTTAGGAACAACTTAAGTGATGTGTAAAGGGGAGGAGCCTTTAGAGGCAGAGAGATGGAAGAAATAACGTAGCTTTAGCCAAACTTAGCCTTATTCTAGTCCTTGGTGACTGGTTTACACTTTTTCACAATTGAACTTGTACAAGACTTTTCCTCTCCCTACTGTCAGGAGGGTCAGAGTGATGTTTACAAAAGAAACTTAAAGGAAGGAGAGGTGAGATGCTTGTGCTAGTCCTTGGGGAGAAAATAGTGTCTGGGATTTGTCACTTGTAGATGTTGTCAAGGTGACCTGATACTGTCATGTCGTCCTATCTTAGGCACTTCAGTGGATCCTCCTTAATATCTTTAGGATTAGATTTCTTGGAATAACATATAAAGCCTTTTATTGTTTTTCCTAAATATGTTTTCAACTCCATCACACTAGTCACCCAATGCAGAGAGATCAGATTGTGAAACGTGTTCTGGGTAGGGGACTTCAGCGTGCCTGGCACTAAATCAGGGAGCCGGGAGAAGCCGGTGCCCAGAACACAGGTGTGGACAGGGAAACGGAGATATAGTCTGAAGCCCTAACTTCTAGGGATTGTCCTCATTAATCACCAGTTTTAGGCTAGTAGATGTGTACTAAAACTTTCCTAGGTAAATGATTATGGGGGATTACTGTAATTCTGGTCTGGCCAGTACTTAATGTGGCAGATAGCAGAAAGCCATTAGTTCTTTTGTTTGTTTTTGGTGGCTCTTTTTTTGTTTGTTTTTTTTTTAAGCTAAATGATTACAGGGGTGTTTTGGGTAGGATGGATGGTTTGAAGGGGATGTGATAGTGAAGAGAGACCATGAAGTTGCTGGTTGCCTTCTAGTCTGATGGTGGAGGGAGATGGGGAGTTAGACATAGTTCACTGCCTTCAGGGAAACTGGGATGGACAGAAGGGAGGAGCTGGAATTTGTTCAGTCAGTAAACTTTTATTTATTTCCCCCTGCTCCCTGGGAACACAAGCTAAATAGTACCACAGGTAGCTAAGGTGAAAGACAAGTATAATACAGTGTGATTTGAGCTAGAATGTCCTGGGAACAGAGCAGATGGGGCATAGACCCAGATGTTCATTTACTTACAGCTCTATTTACATGGCCTGCAGGTTTCACAGACAGCATATCCCAAACTGAATTCATAGTATCTACGTTCTACCTTGGGTGGCAGGGCTGGGGAGAGGGGACCTTCTCTTCCATCATATCTTAAGTTAATAAATGGTACCAGTAGCCCAACTAATTTTTTAAAAAAATATATTGATTTCAGAGAGAGTAAGGGGGGGGAGATAGAAACATCAGTGATGAGGGGGGTCATTGATCGGCTGACCCCGGAACACCCCCTCTGGGGATGGAGCCCACAACCCGGGCATGTGCCCTCACTGAGAATCAAACTGTGACCTCCTGCCCAGCCAGGCGTGGCTCAGCGGTTGAGTGTGGACCTAGGATCCAGGCAGTCGGGGTTCGATTCCCGGTCAGGGCACATGCCCAGGTTGCGGGCTTGATCCCCAGTTGGGGGTGTGCAGGAGGCAGCCAATCAATGACCCTCTCATCATTGATGTTTCTATCTCTCTCTCTCCCTCTCCTTTCCTCTCTCTGAAATCAATAAAGATATATTTAAAAAAAAAAAAAAAATCAAATTGTGACCTCCTGGTTCATAGGTCGACATTCAACCACTGAGCCACGCTGGCCAGGTAGCTCAATTAATTTTGCCAGCTCCAAACAGGAGTTCTCTCTGATTGACTGTCTGCCTTCCTTCCCACCTGTACCCTCACCCTCGGAATTCTGCCATCTCCCTCCCAACTGCTGCCCTGGACCAATCCACCTTTGTCTTGTGGGACAGTGCAGATATGTATAGGGAATGGTCATTTAACTAGAAAAATAGTAAAATGGGGTGGAGGCCATTGAGGGCTTTGCGGGGAGATCAGGCTGTTTCAGAATTTGCAGGTAAGTATTCATGATGTCTGCTTAACCTTGTAGACAAAGTGGTGAAGAAAGGAAGGAAGGACAAGAAGAACAAAAAGACGGTGAGGAAATGAGGGTTGAGGAGGAGAACCGATCATGAGTGGTCCTGTATGAAGGTCACGGGGGGTCTGAGGGGATCTTGTCAAGAGAGGAAGCATCGGGTGGATGGAAGGGAGGGTCATTGGGCCTGCATGTGGCAAAGGGGCTTGGTGGGTGTCTAAGCTATGGTGACCTGTGCCTGAACTCTTGCTAGTTCTTTGAGGAGCTGGCCGTAGGAGCTAAGCAGGCCGGGAAAGAAGAGCACGTGCTCGAGGAGAAGGAGAAGCAGCAGCAGCAGCAGGTACAGTGTGGGGCCCAGCCACGGGGTGCAGCCACAGGTAGTGACTCCGTGAGGCAGATACGATAGGGACCTGGGCCTCAGACTCATTCTCTTACTTGCTGCTTTCAGCAGCAAAAAAAGAAGCGAGACACCCGAAAAGGCCGGCGGAAGAAGGATGTGGATGACGATGGCGAGGAGAAGGAGCTCCTGGAGCGTCTGCAGAAGCTCTCAGTGCCCGCCAGTGACGAGGAGGGAGAGGGTAATGCCTGCGGGGAGCGGGGCCTGCAGCCCCTAGACCAGACGGGGGCCGTGCCTCCTCCTTTCATCTGTGAGTTGGTTTAGTTGAAGAACCAGAATCATCATTCCCTTTCCTGCCTCATCTTTCTTCTCTGTCATTTTTCAGTACCTGTCCTGACACCCCGAGGAGGGAAGAAAACCAAGGTAAGTCATCTCATGGTAAACGGATCCTTCAGGGTGCAACCTTGACCATCCCACTGATTTTTTTCTTTAATATATTTTTGACTTCAGAGAGAGGAAGGGAGAGAGAGAAACATCAGTGATGAGAGAGTCGTCATTGATCGGCCGCCTCCTGCACACCTGACTGGGGTTGGAGCCCGCAACCCGGGCATGTGCCCTGACCGGGAATCGAACCGCGATCTCCTGGATCCTAGGTCAATGCTCAGCCGCTGAGCCACGCCCAGTCAGGCTGTCCCGCTGACTTGTCCAGCCCTTTCATTCTCCAGGGGGGCAATGCTTTTGCAGCCCTGATTCAGGATCAGAGTGAGGAAGAGGAGGAGGAAGAGAAACAGGCTCCTGCGCCTGCCAAGCCAGAGAAGAATCGAATCAACAAGGTGAAAGTGATGCCCTGCCAGGCGCTCCCACCCCTCAGAGCACCTTCTGGCTGTGGGGTGCGAGTTCCCAGGCTTGATTTCCTGCTCTTAAGCTAGCTCTTCTAGGTCTGTCTTGCTTAAACTGTCAAAATCAGCTTTTTAAAGTACTTTTTTTATCACTTGGAAACCTACAGTGATTCTTTTGCTTTCAAACTCAAAATGTAAAACAAAGGCCTTCGAGTCTTTGCTCTTCCACTTGGGACTCTCCCATGTGCACCTTTCAGATTTGCCTGACCCATCTTGGCCTCCAGCTGACTCTGTGATGAGCCTTCGTTGTCTGGCTGTGCCCTCCTCTTCCCTAGAATGCCTTCTCCAAGCCCCATCCATCACTCCTCTTCTCAAGATGTGCCCTCTCAAGGAAGCCCTCCTGCACTGCTGCCGCCCCACCTGTGCAGCTCACTCGCCTGACTCACAGCAGATACTCTCTAGTTCTCTTCTCTCTCTAGTCTCTTTCTGGGTCTCATTTTCCCCTAGCACCACTCAGTACAGTTAACTTCTAGTTCTAGACCCCCTAGAAACACTTGTTAAACGACAAGGTAGCACATTAATGTGTGTCTGTCTGTCTGTCTCCATGTTCTCTCCAGGCCGTATCTGAGGAACAACAACCAGGCCTCAAGGGCAAAAGGGGAAAGGAAGAGAAGTCAACTGGGAAGGCCAAGGTGAGGGAATCGATTACAGGAGGAGGTGCTGGGTCTCGAGAATTCGACCATTTCCTTAGACCGGCTCTTTTTCCTTTAGCCTCAAAATAAATTTTCCGCTCTGGACAATGAAGGTGAAGAAGATGGAGAAGAAAAAATAAAAGAAAAAGAGCCACCCAAGCCAGGGAGGAAGAAGGCAGAGCAGGTGTGTATTTTGGGGTTGGTGAGGGCCAGGACCTGGGGTGCTATTACTGTGCCCAGCAGGAGAAAGACTTGGCATTAGTCTCAGACAATCTGGCTGTGCGGCCTGAGGACATCTTCCCACTGCCTAGTCTCAGTTATCTTGTCTGCATGGTGGCGGGAGTCTGTGATCTCTGCAATCCCCTGTGCATCCGATGCTTTCTCGCCTGGGTTCTGCTGTGTTCCTCAGCAGCTGTATATTAGGGCTTTTAGACCTTTTCTTTGCATGTTAGTGTGAAGCTATAGTAACACTTGTAAATGTATCTATTCTACCCTCAGTCACATTTGCATTGGTAGCTCTGTGTACAGGAGCACAGACGTTTCATACGCACTCCTGCCGTCTGCCTTGTACCATTCGTGGTGGCAGAAATGGACAAAGGATGGCTAGGAGAGGGGGAGGCTCCACCACAACCTCCACATTCTGCGTGCGGAAGGAAAGAGCTGACTGGGACTGGGGGTAGGTGACATAAAACCTGAGTTCTAGAACGGGGCCCTCGTTTTTTACCTCCAGCTCTCACAGGGCTCAGAGGAAGAAGGAGAGGATGAGGAAGGAGGGGAGCCTAAGGCCAGTGATCCCTACGCCCACCTCAGCAAGAAAGAGAAGAAGAAGCTGAAGAAGCAAGTAAGACCTTGGGTTCTTAGTGGGCAAAGGTAGGAGAATTTGATATTTTTAAGCTTCACCTAGGGGACATGTGAGTTGGGGGACAGGAAGTACAGCTTTGAGTGCTACTTCAAGTAAAACAGGCAGAGTAAGAAAAGAGTGTTCCATGAGCCTTGTCTTGGTGTCGTGGTGACAGGAAGCTGGCAGACGTGGTTTCCATTCCTTCTCAGATGGAGTATGAGCGCCAGGTGGCTTCATTAAAGGCAGCTAATGCTGCTGAGAATGACTTCTCCGTGTCACAAGCAGAGGTGTCCTCCCGCCAAGCCATGTTAGAAAATGCATCTGACATCAAGGTGAGGATGACCTGCTCCTCCCGCTCACCAGGGAAGTGCCCGTTCTCACCAGCGTGGCCCTGGCAGCCAGGGGAGTGGGCTGTGAGCGGCTTAGTTCACTGCAGGAAAGCTTGGAGGCGTTTTCCACGCCTTGAGTTCTGCCATCTTGAGCGAGAATATAGAAAAATCAGTAGAAGTAGAGGGTCCACCCTTGGAGGGAAGTGAGTGGGACAGGCTGAGCTGGCTTAGGATTTGGGAGAGCCCGTTGGGGCAGTGGACCGGGAAGGGACCAGCATGTGGGGAGGAGGGAGTTATGCTGGAGGCCTCTTTGCCAGAGGCTTCCCTGCAGGGAGAAAGCTGTAGTCTCTGTCTGAAAGGGAGAATCCACATTGTGCCCATTCCTTCCCTCTGCCCTGCTTCCCTGATGGCTGCAGCTGGAGAAGTTCAGCATCTCGGCCCATGGCAAGGAGTTATTCGTCAACGCAGACCTGTACATTGTGGCTGGCCGCCGCTATGGGCTAGTTGGACCCAATGGGTGAGGAGAGGAGGGGCTGGAATGAAAGAAGAGATTTCTCAGAGATGACCTGGCCATAATAGTTCTCATTCCCTAGCAAGGGCAAGACCACTCTCCTCAAGCACATTGCCAACCGAGCCTTGAGCATCCCCCCCAACATCGATGTGTTGCTATGTGAGCAGGGTAAGGCACCGGTGGGAGGAGGCTTCAGGGGTGGGTGCTTGGGTGGCCAGCCAGGGAGGGAAGCAATTGGGGGGGAGGGGAAAGGTTATGTGGGGAGCCAGGGCCCTGAGAAAAGATGCTAAAGAAGAGGGAGGAAGTGAGAGATGCAGGACCTTTCATTTGGAACAGGTACAAAGAACTGGGCAGGGTCAGGCAAACCAGAAATGGTGCTGAAGGGCAAAGGGAATAGGACCCTGGCCCTTGGAGTAGCCTGACTGTCCTCCCATCCCCAGAGGTGGTAGCGGATGAAACACCTGCAGTACAGGCTGTTCTTCGAGCTGACACCAAGCGATTAAAGCTGCTGGAAGACGAGCGACAGCTTCAGGCGCAGCTGGAGCAGGGTGATGACACGGCTGCCGAGCGACTGGAGAAGGTAGGGGACATATCACAGGTTCACAGCTGAGATGTGGGGGTTCCTGCGACCTCAGGTGTGTGACCTCTTTTCCCTCCCAGGTGTATGAGGAATTGCGGGCTATCGGCGCGGCGGCCGCAGAGGCCAAGGCCCGGCGGATCCTGGCAGGTCTGGGCTTCGACCCTGAAATGCAGAATCGGCCCACACAGAAGTTCTCGGGGGGCTGGCGCATGCGTGTCTCCCTGGCCAGGTGGGCTTCCCACCTCCTACCCTCCCTTCAGCCTCAAGCCAGCAGGCTCTTTTCCTTCTCCCCATTCTCCCAATGCCAGCAGGAGGCTCAAGGCTGACTTCTCTCCTTGACTGCATTGTCAGACCTGAGGCCTGTTCTTCATTCTCTCCCTGCCTGGTGGACATTCTCATTGGTGTCTCCTGCACAGGAGCTTCTCTGAGGAGAAACTGGAAGGATTGTTCATGGTCTCAGGCTCCACCTATTGGTGGCTGCTCTGGGGTTCTCAGCAGGGATCTTCCCCCTCTGACCATACACTTTCCTGCCCAACCCTCTAGGGCACTGTTCATGGAGCCCACACTGCTCATGTTGGATGAGCCCACCAACCACCTGGACCTCAATGCTGTCATCTGGCTCAATAAGTGAGTCGCCCTTGCCTGCAGTGTTGACGTTAGTGGTTCTCGTGCTGCATCTCTTCCTCTAGCTCTTCTCCACTCTTCCCTTGGTGCTCTGGCCTCGCCGGCCCTCCCTCCCTGCCCCGTGCCTGTCTGCTTCCCTTGACTTAGCCCTGACGTAACCATTGTGACCTTCCGCACTCTGCTCTGAAACCCAGCTACCTCCAGGGCTGGCGGAAGACGCTGCTCATCGTCTCCCATGACCAGGGCTTCCTGGATGACGTCTGCACCGACATCATCCACCTGGATGCCCAGAGGCTCCACTACTACAGGGGCAATTACAGTGAGTGGGGTCGCTCTCGTAGGAGAGAGGTGGGGCCCCAAGAAGAGGCCTGGGAGGGACGGCCATAGGGCGTGGTGAGGAGCTGGGTCTTTTCAGAGTCTAGGCACTGACACCGTTGGCCCATCTTCTTCAGTCCTGACTGTCCCTCTATCTGCTGGGAGAGGGTACCACTGATGCCCATCCTCCTCCTCTTCCCAGTGACCTTCAAGAAGATGTACCAGCAAAAGCAGAAAGAGCTGCTCAAGCAGTATGAGAAGCAGGAGAAGAAGCTGAAGGAGCTGAAGGCAGGTGGCAAGTCTACCAAGCAGGCGGTGAGCACCCAGGGGTCTTCCTGGGAGGGGGGCTCTTCTCAGGAGAATGTATGAAGAACAGACTCTGGGACACCAACCTGCATTTCATGGATGGCTGTGCAGATGAGGGTTTCTCCCTTCCCCTTTCTCTGCAGGAAAAGCAAACAAAGGAAGCCCTAACCCGGAAGCAGCAAAAATGCCGACGGAAAAACCAAGATGAGGAATCGCAGGAGGCCCCCGAGCTCCTGAAGCGCCCCAAGGAGTACACCGTACGCTTCACGTTCCCCAACCCCCCTCCACTCAGCCCACCTGTGCTGGGCCTGCATGGTGAGCCTCTGCAATCCAGCAGCCCAGGGGGAGGCGTGGGCCCAGCCCTCTTCTTCAGGGCAAGACACAGGGGGCCTTCAGGGCAACTGAAAAGAAAAGAAACGGCTTCCTTTCCTGGCTCTCAGGTGTGACGTTTGGCTATGAGGGGCACAAACCACTCTTTAAGAATCTGGATTTTGGCATCGACATGGACTCGAGAAGTGAGTTGGTGTTGAGTGGCCCAGGGAGGTAGATCAGGAGCCACAAGAAGAGGGCCTGGGACCTCTTTGACTACCTGTCTTGCTTCTTGCAGTCTGCATTGTGGGCCCTAACGGTGTGGGGAAAAGCACCCTGCTCCTGTTGCTGACAGGCAAGCTGACACCGGTAAGTCTTACAGCCAGGCAGGGAGGGCTAGGTGGGGGTATGCAGAGTGGGGAATGTGCTGCGCACCAGAGGCTGAAGTCCCGGGTTCCCCTCTGCAGGGCAGAGTTAAATACAGACTGGGCACAGATGACTCGTTTCCCTGCAGGTGCTGTGGAAGGTTTTAGATTGGGTCCTGGAAAAAAAGCCAGGAAAGTGGAGGTTGGAGCTGGGGTTTTCCCCATGTGTTTTTGTTACACAAGAAATACGTTACTTACAGAGTGATTCGAGTTACGTAAGCCAAAGAGAAATCTAGAAATAACCAGTATTAATTTTGGTGGGTAGCTGTCTCCTTTTTTCCTTTGCAAATATGCATATTTGTTTTTTTTAAAAAACAAAAATGAGCTATCCATGAATTGTTCTTTAGCCAGCTTTTTAATTTATTATTTATTTATTTTTTAAGGAATAGTTTATTGATTTTTGAGAGAGAGGAAGGGAGAGGGAGAAACAGAAACATAGATGTGAGTGCTCAACTTCGATTGGCTATCTCCTGTAGGCCCCCTAGCTGGCATCGAGCCCAAAACCTGGGCATGGGCCGTGACCAGGAATTGAACTGGCAGCCTGCTGGTGCATGGGACGACACCCAGCCCAATGAGCCACACTGGCCAGGGTGTGTAGCCAGCTTTTTTCCAGATAATACGCATCAAGCATTTTCCCATGCCAATAATTACTTGGATCTACCCAAATTTATTTGGCCTCAGCAAGTATTTCTACTGTACATCTTTACAAATATAGTTTTTACTAAGTGTTTTGCCTTTAGGACTTCGACTGTATATTGCCCTACAGTACTTTAGACAGGTGGTGGCCATCTGTCCTCCTTCCAGGAAAGTGCTGTGAGGGCCCTTTTCCTCAGGTTTCCCTCTGACCTGTCCTTAACCCCTGTCTGACCTGGGACCCTGAGAGCGGGCGTGCGTGAGTTCGGCTGGGAGGGGAGAGGTGTCCTTAGTTGTGGCCGGTCCCCTCCTGGTTCTGAATGTGTGCTTTTGTCTCCCTTTGTTCTCCGTCTCTTACTCCCTTTTGCCCCACATTCTGGTTTTCTGGTATGTCTTTGTCACATTAGGAAGGACATCCGTGTTCTGTTTCCCAGCCCCATTCTGTATTTGTCTCCCTTTCACAAAAGTTGGGGTATGGACCCGCAGCACTTTTCCCTTTCCCCATCTCACCCCTTGCTCTTCCCTTGCAGACTCAGGGGGAAATGAGGAAGAACCACCGGCTGGTAAGTTGGCCTGGGAATTGGGGATAAGAGTCCAAGAGAGGAAGGAGAACCTTCACTGACACCTTCCTCTCCTCTGGGCAGAAAATTGGCTTCTTCAACCAGCAGTATGCAGAGCAGCTGCGCATGGAGGAGACACCCACCGAGTACCTGCAGCAGGCCTTCAACCTGCCTTACCAGGACGCCCGCAAGTGCCTGGGCCGCTTCGGTCTCGAGAGTCATGCCCACACCATCCAGATCTGCAAACTCTCGGGTACTGCTGCCAGGGCTGGGAGGGGCCTCCTCAGCATGCCTACCCCACACTGTACCTGGACAGGGAGGGAAGAGGAGCCGAGGCTGGGGGGCTCAGCATACGCACGCAGGCACACGTTCAGGTTGACCTGCAGGAGTGGGAGGTGGTCAGAAGTGTGATGGGCCTCCTTTCTCTCTGCTGCAGGTGGGCAAAAAGCCCGAGTTGTGTTTGCAGAGCTGGCCTGTCGGGAGCCCGATGTCCTCATCTTGGTGAGTGAGCCGGACTGTGGGAGAGGGTATGTCACAGGTGAGAGTCCTAACGCTCAGTCATGGAATGCCTCCTCCGCAGGATGAGCCCACCAATAACTTGGACATTGAGTCGATCGATGCTCTGGGGGAGGCCATCAACGAGTACAAGGGTGGTGAGTCAGCTTGGAGTATTCCCCCCCCCCCAGCCAGGCTGCAGGCTAGAGCTCCCTACCCTGGGCTCTGATTGCCTTAGCCACTTCTCTCCCTCCCCTCACTCTCCCATTTCCTCCAAGCTGTGATCGTTGTCAGCCACGACGCCCGACTCATCACGGAAACCAGCTGCCAGCTATGGGTGGTGGAGGAGCAGAGTGTCAGTCAGATCGACGGCGACTTTGAGGACTACAAGCGAGAGGTGTTAGAGGCCCTGGGTGAAGTCATGGTCAACCGCCCCCGAGAGTGATCTTTCCTTCCTGGAGACTGGCTTGCGTGGCCTAGGTGTTCGTTGTCTCTCCACCTCCACCCAGAATGCCTCTGGTCTGCAGCTGACAGGGAATCGGAGGTGGTCTTGATATGACCCGGTTGCTTCCTTTCCTCTGAAAGACTTGTCTGTTTACTTTTCTTTATGTAACTGAGCTGCCTTACTCCTGACACCCCTTGGTGCCAGCAGAGGGGCCGTGACTTCTTCACCGTGGGTTCCATCTAGCCAAACTCAAGTGGCCAGTTGTCTTGAATCTCGTCGCTCCAACCTGCCTCTGGTCCACCTGACAGCCTCGGCCCAGCAGCACCTGAGTACTGCTGCTCTTTCCTCGTGGATTTCATGCTGGCCTGGTGACACGAACACTGTGGCACCTGTACTGGAGAGTCAGGCCTGTGCTATCACCCAGGATTTGGGGATCACTTGGGGTCAGGAAAGGAATGCTGCTGAATTCGGATTTCCCTGTACACAGGCAAGGAATAAAGGAAAGGGGTTACTGCTGCCCTGTCTGCAGATTCGTGGGAGCTGGAGCTGTTTTTGATCTTGACTTTATTTAGTTTTCTAGCAGCATTTAGTGTCCTCTCCCCACTCACACAGCTGGGTCTCACCTGCAGTCTTACTGCACTGAGGATGGGGCTTGCTGTGTGTGGAGCCTCCCCTCCCCCACCCTTCAGGACACTCAGGTCTCACTGTCCAAGGTCTGCCCTGAGGTCTGGGACCAGATATTAAGTCACCCAACATGGAGAGTACTGGGGGTTCTGCAGGAAGGGGAGACGGTGTGCCTTCATGAGGAAGACATGAGCCTACCCTAGGATGTGGGCAACGGCTACTGTGTGGCTCTCTAGGCTCTCTGAGTTGCTGCCTGCTCCTCGGGGAAAGATGTTCTGGAACTTGATTATTTGGCAGGATCACTTGAGAGTGGACCTTGAAAAATAATAAGGATTTGAAGAATGAGGGAACAGAGCCATTTTTGGAACTTATGAAGAGCAGATCAGAGGTTTGGAAGGAAGAAAACCAAACCTGTTTGGGAGTTAATGAGAGAACGTGACTGACTGGTCACTTCTCTGTTAGACGGAGAGGTGGGTTTGGAAAGTAAAATACAAGTGGCAAGTGTTTGGGGTTGGTTTTAGGAAGTGGTGGGCGAGGTGAACTGTAGTAACTTAGAGAGGGTAGGTCCCGTGACTTTTTTTTTTTTAATATGTTTTTATTGATATCGGAGAGGGGAAGTGAGAGAGAGCAGTAGAAACATCAGTGATGAGAGTCATTGATCAGCTGCCTTCTGCACGCCCCCTACTGGGGATCAAACCCACAACCTTGGCATGTGTCCTGACCGGGAATCAAACCATGACTTCCTGGTGCATGGGACGCCGTCCAACCAACAGAGCCTCATGGGCCGGGCTGGACCCCATAACTTCTGTGGGGACGAGGTCATCCTGCCCTAGAGAGCACAGGTGGGCAGACCCAGGCGTGGGAGCTGAAGAAGAGCAGGATCAGTGCATCGGTCCAGTTCCAGGGGGCTGTGAAGAGCTGTTTGGTTAGGACCGAGTTTGGAAATGTAGTTTTGGGAAGTTATCTTTTGGCCAAGTGAATAAGGAATGCTGGACCTTGCATAGAAGTGAGGGTTTGGTGTGGGGAGAGTTGCAGAGGTGCCATAAGGACACATTTCCAGTTTAGAGAGAAAGCAACCCCTCAACATCATTTAAGGGTAAAAAACCAGGGTCTTGTGCCAAACACGAGTAAGACATTCCATGTCATTTCCACAATTCTATGAGGTATAGGACAGTGGGAGCCAGGCTTCAAGTCCACTTGCTAATGATATGGCCTTAGCCTCGGTACTTGTTTTCTCATCTATAAAATGCAGGTGATAAAAGGTACCTGCCTCACAAGTTTATTAAGGGATTCGACATGTAATTGGTTGTAAAGTGCCTTCAATGTTTTTACTTTTGTTACATGTATTTCATGTTACATTCTACATTTAAAATTTTCAGTTCACGGCATGGCTCAGCGGTTGAGCATCAACCTAGGATCCAGGCGATCACAGTTCGATTCCAGTCAGGGCCCATGTCAGGCTCAATCCCCAGTGGGTGTGCAGGAGGCAGCCCATCAATGAGTCACCATTGATGTTTCTATCTCCCTCTCTGAAATCAATAGAAATATTTTAAAAGAAAAATTTTTTTGGTTCACTAGTTTAGATGATATGATATATAGGAATGTTATTTATAAAATGAGTACCAAAATTTTGCGTTTTAAGTTTTTGATCACTAATTTCACCACAGGTACTTCAGATGCTCCAAAATAACTTCTGCCCAAGGACACACAGTTTATTTCTTCCATCAGTATACGTAGTTTATAATGTATTGAAATTAATATACCTCAGCGTGGGCAAAGGAATGCTGCCCCTTCCCCCAGAAAACAACAACATGGAACTGGGACATGGAAAAAATTAACATTCATGTGGTGACCCTGGTAAATTAACAAAATCAAATATTTTTATTCATAAACAGCTTTTAATACCTACACTAATGTACATAATGAGCGGCATGGAAGTTCCCCTGATGTAGCGATTCTGCACCGCTTCCTGATGAAACACTCAGGACACCAGCCTGCCCAGGGCAACTGTTCCCGGAATGATGGCCCGTTGGTTTACTCCAGTGCCCTGGTCACTCTCCTTAGCCTGCAGAATGTGGACGGGTTGCCAAAGTGGGGTTGGCCAGGTGGCTCTGGTTGGGGCATTGTCTTGTACACTGAGGTTGCTGGTTTAATTTCCAGTCAGGACACGTACCCGAGTTTCGGTTCCGTCCCTGGTCAGGCATGTGAGAGAGGCAGCCGGTCTATGTTTCTCTCACATTGGTGTTTGTCCTGTCCTCTCTGAAGTCAAAAAACGTCCTCAGGAGGATTTTTTGGTTTTTAACCTTCATCTAAAGATATTTTTTCCTGTTGCTTTTCAGAGAGAATGGGAGAGAGGAACCTTGATGTGAGAGAGACACATTGATGATTTGCTTCCCACATGAGCACTGACCAGGACCAGGGATCAAGCCCACAATCGAGGTCCGTGCCCTTGGCCAGAATCAGACCTGGGACCCTTCAGTCCATGGGCTGAAGCTCTAACCACTGAGCAAAACCGGCCAAGGCAGCAGGTGAGGGTATTTTTAAAAGATGGCCACCCTGGCAGGTGTGGCTCAATGGTGGGAGCATCAGCCCATGGACTGAAGGGCCGTTGGTTTGAATCTGGGTCGAAGGCATGTACCTCGGTTGCAGGTTCAATCCCCAGTCCCAATTGGGGTGTGTGTGGGAGGCAACCAATCCATGTGTGTCTCTCATCAATGTTTCCCTC